TATTGATGGAATACATGAGGGTAATTTGTTCTACGTAAGGAGAAAAGTGAAATTACATTTAAGTAAACAAATTATTTACCTTGTTATTTTTACGGAAAACTTCCAGCGCTCAAATTTTTTTTTGTTTTTTGTACTTAGCTTTCACCTTTACGTTTACAATGCTTTATGGAAAATATATTATAAAGAAATTAAAATAAGACTGTTAAGAGAGAGATTAAATTTCATAAGAAAAGTATTTAATTAATTTATAGGTACCTTTCTTATAAAATTTTATCAAAAGTGTACATAAAATGCTATAACTTTATGTACATTTACTACATTTTACTGTGTTATTTGTATTTCCATTCATTTTATTATTAATTTTGATATTTCATTTATGGAAAAAATGCCATAACTGAGATTAATATAAAAATAAGATCATATAAATTTTGTAAGATGATACTAATACTTGTAGGTACCCTTCTCAGTTGAAATTGAAAATTCAAATTAACTTCTCCACATGTGTTTCACAAAAGTAAAGGCCTTAACAGTGGAGAACAATACTTAACTCAAATAACGCAATTTAATTGTATTCTGGTTGGTCTTCTGTACTTTATTTTTGTAATGCTTATTTTGTTTGCAGTCCATTTAGGTGAATGTGAAAAAGAATTTGATATCATCTGATCACAAACACTGTTTATGAACAATTGTAAAACACAGGCAGTTTTGAATTTAAAAAATAACACTAAATAAAGGCAATCAATACTTGAAAGCACTATATATATATATATATATATATATATATATATATATATATATATATATATATATATATACACGTGCACGCACACACACAAAATTATAGGATTGGTGTAGACAGAATAAATTCCAATAACCAAAAATACTATTCTTAAAAGAATGCTCAATAAAGAGTAGAGCAAATATCATTTATTCAAAAATTATAACAAACATGTTTATAACACCACTACAAAAATAGCCATTTTGTTTCAACACTTCTGGTGTCTTATCAAGTGATGCTGTTGAATGTAGAATAAAGTGTTTTAAAAGTTTCAAATCAACCAAACACCCCTCAATAGGGGAAACGCTGTTGCATAAGCTACAATGACCAATCAAAATACAGTATATGAAAATTCAAAAACCTTGGTTATAATTATTAATGCCTTAATGTTAGTGATATTAGTCTATCACTAACATTAAGGCATTAATAATTATAACCAAGGTTTTTGAATAGAAACCATTCTAACTGATTAATTTTAAATTTTACTATAAAATTAAAAATAAAAGTTATCAATTTTAAATTTAACCTGTATTAAGTTTAAAATATTATAAAATTATTTAAAGAAGAAACTGAGGAAAAAATACATATATTTTATTTATTTATTTTGTTTTAATCGAAAAGCCAAAATCTCAGTTAGTGTAAAAACAGTAAACTAAACACTAAAGGAGATACAAATATTGTAACAACTTATACATTTGAAGTGATGATATGTGCAGGGGAAGAAATTTTGCAAATGACAATATACACAATCATAAGCACATATATATAAACACACAAAAACACAGACGAAACAGGAAATAGATGTCCATGATCAAAAAAAGGAAATATATTTAAATAATTTAAATTAAAAAATTATAATAATAATAATTTAAATAAAAATATTTTAGATAAAAAGAGGGTTTAAGATAAAAGTTAGGAATAGTAGAATAGGAAAACAAATATTCAGCAATGAACACAGTAAAGAAAAAAGACAATTAAACATATACAAGTCAAGTGGACAGACAAAATATACGCATACATCTCCCCCCTCCCCCGCCAAAAAAAAAAAAAAAAAAAAAAACAACCACCAAATACAAATGTCCAGTCAAAATGCAGCATGGAAAATAAAACTAGTTTATAGAAAAGGAAACATATTGACACGTAAATATATACAAATTAAATACCAGATGGCTATTGTTTGCACATGGAATTATTTGCTGGTAATTAATCTTCGATTTGGCTGTGAAAAATATCACTCAGGGGTTACCGTTCGGTTAGAGCATTAAGAAATTATGGCCAATTTTCTGAGAAAACAACTTTTTTTTTTATTAAAAAATAAGTTTTTTCTCTTCAAAACAATTTTTTTTTCAAACTTCAATCCTTTCTCTTTAAGTTGGTGTGAAGATCATTGAATAAAAGGAATGGCTATATGACCCGACAATGGGAAATACAAAAGACATCCAGCGAAAAAAACTAATGTTATTGTTGGCTGCTAAGTAAGTGCTTCTGTCATCACCTTATTAAATGGTGGGATTTATCACCAGTTGATGACAGCTTGTTTTAACTTTTATTGCTGGCTGGCTGGCCTTTGACCCAGCTACGTCAAAATCAATTTGGCTTAATTTGAACCCTATTTTCCTTATTGGTAATATTTTTTGAAAAAAAAAAAAAAAAAAAAAACTTGTATCAATTTTTTAACCCCCATCCTCGGTGGCCATATAATTGAAAATTACCAACAGACTTTGTCACATTATTTTGACTTCCTAGGAATTTTGTTTCCCTTCAAACTCTCAATTTTATACCTGAGTGAAATAGTTTGATTATGATTTAGGCTTTCTAATTTTCTAAAAGAAAAGGTTAATTTCCCATTATTGGGGAAATTTTTTGCTTAGAACTAGAAAAATGCAAAATTTTTCACATTAACCCCTGAAAAATTTTTTTGCGTCAGTTACATCAGCCAATTTTACTTTTAAATGAAAGAACATATTGTTTAATAATTTCAGAAAATACATAGTTTCATGGGGTTCAAACCAAAAGTTTCCTTCATATTTTGCTCAGATGATGACAAAGCAGTCATTTTTCAACATTTTACATTACTTTTAGTTTTACCCCTATAAAAGTATGAAAATCCATTTTTTTTTCAGAGAAAATAGGCTGTGACAAAATGACTTTTGTTATTTTTGTAATGATTTTTACTTGGGATAGAAAGTTGTTACCATATTAGACCTGAATTGACTTTATTAAGTTTAGCGAGTGGGGGCTATAGGAACCCTCAAACAGCTGTGAGGCTTGGACTCGGACTCACAGATTTGCCTGAATATTTCAGCAACAATGAATTAATTGTCTAAAAATTCCTCCTTTAATATCGGTATGGCGGAATAATAGTGCTGCGTTATTTGCAAGGCGTACACTGTTAAAGATACTTGCAGATACTGTAGTGTAGTGTAGCGTCATGGCCTTCGACTTCTAAACATTCATTAGCAACACAATTTATTGTAGTCCTTACCACTGAAAATGCAGCACTTCAGTTTGGGGATAAATGGGAAGGACTGTCGGTTATTTGTATTCTCATCATCCCTAGCTGTGATAGAATTCTTCGGAAAATTAGGCTAGAGTCTAATTTATCTAGTTCCTGTTTAACTTCAATGCGGAACTTTATTTCAATGTCAGTTTCCCTATAGCACTCATCCTCATCAATTTCATTAGCATTATCTGCTATCTCTCTGTTGATTTCATCCACCGTGGCTAACCATTGAAAAATATCACCTTATTTGAAATTAATTAATTCCAACTTCTTTTTTCTTGGTTTTTCAGAACATCAAGAGTAGTAACTTGTATATAGTAACTTAAGTAACTATATTGCACTTATTGCGTCTTTTGGCTAATTTACCGGTTAAACCTGAAATGATGGGCATTTTGAAAGATGTACAGTGTAACCCGGATATAAGAGAGATTTTCTCCGGTCCCGACAACTCTCTTATATTCAGGTTACACTGTATATGCCGTCTGATATTAACTACAAAATTCCCTAAACTCTGTAAAAAAATATCCAGAAAGGAAAAGAGAACCACCGAAACAACTGTTCACTTAAAGAAAAGAAATGTAGTATAACACTTAAACCCCCCCCCAAAAAAACAAAACACTAATTCTTCTATAATTAATGTACACACCGAGCACTAGAGTCTACCGAAAGAAAACAAGGTAAATTTCTATTTTGTTTCCCCAAGCGCTAATATCCCTTCAAATTTTTTCAAAATCATCATAATTCCGTGCAAATGTACATGCGCAACTCGAACAATTATGAAGAAACCTTACCTAATGAAAAGAAAGAGTGAAACAGGCTTAAAATTAATTTTTTTTTTTCCAACGAATAAATTTGATTTGACTATTTTTTTCTGAAAGACTTTTTGAAAAAGTAACCAAACATCGAAAAAGAAGTTTTTTTTTTTTTCAAGAACCTAACAAAAAAACAGATATGATTTAACAGTTCAGTTGACAAGGAATGCTTTTTAATTACTGAATAGAACTTCAAACAAAGAGTAAAATAATAACTGGCGAGAAGTTTTCTAACGATCTGTAGAAATAATTAACCGTTGAACCGTTTTATGAATCGACCTTAGAGGAAAAAAAAAAAAAAAAAAAAAAAAAATAAGTGGGGGAGAACAAACATTGTCAACCAGATTTATATTATCTACTGTCACTAAAAACAAATATTTAAATTATTTTGAGATAAAACCATAGTGATTATTTGCAAAAAAAATAAAATCTGTCAAACTTACTTTATTCAGCCTTTTCTTCAGTTAGTCATCTGTTAAAAATTTAAAATTGGCGGATCGCTGCAAAGTCCCGTTTTGTGACGATACGAAACGAGAATTGACGAGACAGGGCGCATGGTCGCCATAACAGTGAAAGCTATTGCGATCTGACGATCGCCGTTTGGGGCGTTTAACGGCCAGCAAAGGTTTTAGGGGGGAAAAAGTAACCCCCAAGTGAAGGATATTTTAGATTTCCCTTCAACTAAATAAGCTTACTGACTTGTAACTCAAGTGAGATACATTAATTTTTTCACTTTTTTGTCTGTTCAAGATGGATCTTTGAAAAATGGTGTTCTTACAAGAAAGCAAGTCTAACAAATTCTGTGTTGAAGGAGGCAAGTCCTTCGCCCAACTTGCCGGAGGTGTCGGGCCCTTGGCTCGGCCAGGGAACCACCTTGCCGACCTCTTCTCTGTAATTTTGACGGTAAATGTTAGACGAAGGAAACATGGAAAAGAAACCGATCAGCCGACATTCTCCGGTCCCCGTGAAGACCAGTACAGGAGATAAAAAAACAGGTGAAGTTCCAATTGTTGTTAATGACAATTTTATTTTAGTTTCTTCACTGTAAATTTTGACTCATATTTTAGACTAATTTGTAATGATATGAACTATTAAAAAAAACAAAAAAAATAATAAATAATTGCAAATGATCAGATATTAAGAAAAATGCTTTATTACTTTAGTGTTTTGTTTTTATCGAAGTAAATTTGTTTCGTCTTTAGTTTTGGAAAACATTTTAAGTGGTTTTAAACTGTTAAATAAATAAATAAAAAAAAAACAAACTCCCAGCTGCTTGTTCACCCCCAGTGACTTTTTTTGGTTTTTGTGACAATTTCTTTTTAAATCATTTTTAAACTTGCTCTTCGAGACAGATTATTTTCACTTTATTTTTTTTAAAGAAATATCCGTTTGAAATTGTCTGAACTGTAATTTTCTCATGTCGATTTTATTTTTATGCTATGTTTGGTTTTAGCCTTACGTCATCCATGTCATTGACCTATATTCTTTTTAAAAATAACATTAACATCTTTCCTTCTTTTTTGCGACAGTTTAGCGATAGGGTTGGTTTACCTGTTGGTTCAATAGTGAATCTACTCTGTTCCTTGATCTTGAAGCTTCTGCAGCAATTACTTGCCCACATTCCTCAATCTATTGTTAGCAGCACCCAAAGTGTATTTGCTTGTCCACCATTTTTTTCTTAACGTATTTCGTTTTTTGTATTTCGTTTTTTGCTTACAAAAATTCTTTTTTTTTTTCTTTATTCTTTTTATCTCATAATTTATAATCGCGTGTGATTCCTTTCGTATGTTTGCAGTAGTAGATGTTTCAGATTTGTAAAAACATCTTTTTGGGTTTTTTTGTTCTTAAAGGGAAAAACAAAATTGACTCCAGTGAGTAAATAAATAATTTTGTGTTGACTTTTTAGTTTTTAAACTATTGAAGATTCTAAAAATATGAATATTCTGATACAAAAAAAAAGTAAACAACATATTGCGAAATTGAATCAAACAGTATGATTTTCCAACTATTACTTTATGATTGAAAAATAATCGGAAGGCAAAAAGTGGGCAAAGGAAAGATCTTTTGAAAGGAAATTATTTATATTTAATTTTCGGGATACATATGTACGTTTCTTTGTTCAGTCTATTTTTTTTTACTTTTCAATTTTTTAATTTCATATTCTCAGCAATTTTTGTTTTTTAAAACTAATGTTTAATTTTAAAAACTTTTTTAATTAAAAATGTAATTACTCTTCCAAGTTCATATTTTTTGCTATAAAAAATCTTAACAAAATTGAATACATTTCATCCGTTTTAAAACTTACTGTTTAAATTTTTTTTTATTGATGTATTTATTTAATGTTAGAATTTTTTTTAACTACAGCTAAGCCTGGACATTAAAATACCATCAAAAAGACACCTCTTCCGTCTACCAAAATAAAGGAAGAAAAAATTAGAACATCAGTTTTTTTTTTTGTTTTTTTTCTTTGTTTCAATTTATTTTTCATAAATTTTAACAGGCTAATAAAATCAAAAAGCATATTGAAACAAAAACAATGTATTGAAAATTAGATTTTTTTTTTTTTTCTTTAACTCTCAGATGTCGTATAAACTTACTATGTTTGCCCATAAGTGCTTGTCAATGGATGCCGTCGATTTACCATTTGGCGTCTGTTTGTCAGCAGCTGATAGAAAAAAAAAATCAAATAAAACTGGTTCTCTAATTGTCGATATCCTAATTTTATCATTACGATCTGGAAAAATTGTTCATTTTGTCTTTTAGATAATGCCAGATTTCAACGTACTCCAAGACGAAAAGATAATGGAATCCGTTCGTACCAAGATGCTAATCCCAGTAAGAAACCTCTTCCTCAAAAAACCCGGACAGCCAGTGACAAGAGACCACGGCCTCGGAGTTATTTCAATGACAAGCAGAGGGATGAGGTGAGTCTTTCTTTATCGTCTTACATAGTTGTTCTTATGCGTTTTTTGAGCGAAGAGACAGACAAACCTACGTTTTACAAATGACTTTTGCAAACACGTTTGAAATGAGGTTAACTAAACACTTTCAAACTTTTTCAAAAATCTCAAAATTTTTAAGTTAGTTTTAATTTTGTGTTCTTTTTTACTGCGTTTTTTTTTTGGTATTTATTTTACTTTGGGTCATATTTGATTTAAGTAAATTTTTAGTTAAAATAAAATAAAAAATTAAGAACCTAAAAAACAAAATTAAGACTAAAAAAAATATTAAATAAAAAATAAGTATGTCCACTATTTCGGCATAAATTTTCTATATTGAAGTTTAAAATGAATTTTTTCAACAAAAAAATTTCTTGAAAAATTTCATTTTAGCTTTAATCGAAAGTTTAATAATTAAATTTACGATTTCTATTAATTAAACATTCTGGTGTATTTCAGATAGAAACTATATACATTTGATTGTCAAATTTAATTTCAAAAATTAAATTTTTCTTAAAACGGCCATTTTCTTAATTTTAAGAAATTTGTAAACAAACACAAATTTATCGATTTTTTCAAATATTTAAAAAAATTTTTACGTTATTTTAGTAAAATTAAAAAATTTAAAGTTAAAGTAATCTGATTTCAAAGAAATCTTTGTTACTTATAGCATAAAAAAATAATATACAACCAATTATTAACGAGCGGTCCCATTGTTCGATCTTATTGATAATGGTTGATTGACGAGCCGATGACAGCTTTTACTGATGACCATAAATGACAATTTTAAAGTCTGAGTTTTTAAAAATTATTCTATTTGAGTATGACACACACTAATGGAAATACAATACATAAAATAAAATTATTTAAATGAAATAGTTAATGAAAAAAAAAAAAAAATAATTTAAAATTTAAAGTTTACACTTTTACAGCTGATCGGAAAAAAAAATCTGTTAATAAACGAAATGTTTTGAAAGGGACAAAACCCTTAGATCACGTGACCTTGTTATAATAATGGCAATTTCTGTATATCATACATGGAAAAAGGAATGTATTAAGTAAAAAAATACAACATAAAAAATTATTTTTAAAAAAGTAGCGCAAATAAATTTATTAAACTTAGCAATTTTGGATTCGTAAATTTTTTTTCTTTATTAATTAACATAATATCGAGGAACCCTCCTAATACAGAGCTTTACACGATTTAAAACTATTATAAAATTATTATAATTAAAATTTCTTAAAAACGAAAAATTCTTGTAAAAATTATTATTCATCAGAAAAAAATTTCTTCAGACAAATAATGTTTTAATATTACTTATTTAAAAAAAATTGGATAAAAAAATTTTCTAATTAAGTAATATCATAGTTTTATTGGATTCATTATTTTTCAATTCAGAGCAGATTTTTTCAGTTAAATAGCTCAAATTTGTGAAAGAAAAAGTAGATTATTTACCATCTTCAAAGACTCCTACTTTTAAAAAAAAAAAAAAAAAGGAACCAAAAGGTTTTTCTTAAATTTCATTAAATTAAGTAAATGTTTTTATTTTAAAAAATATTTTTTACCAAAATTTTCTAAAAAATCTAAATTTCAAAAATAATTTCATTCATTTGTGAATAAGTCCTGAAAATTTCATTAAGATTGGACAATTATTTTATTTTTATGTAAGAATTTCCAAATTAATATGTTTTCAACGGTAAAAAACGCAAAAAAAAAATATGTTATTTTAAACGTCGCCGCGATGACGTAAACAAAAACGATTTTAACCAAAATTTCTGAACGTGTTAGAAAAAATTAAAAAATTTCAAAAATAATTAAAAATACTTTTTTTTTCATCTAAATAATAACATAAGCATTTTAGACGATATTAACTTTAAAATCTTTTAAGTTTGTGGCATTTTTTCATTTACAGTATGCTGTTTTTCCGCGAAAACAGTGGACATGTTAATTAAAAATAAATATTTTAATTGCTGAATAAATCCATTAATATTTAAAATTACTAGTTAAAAAAAAACGTTAAATTTTCAATTTTTCATCCATATGAAAATCAAAAAAAATTTCGATAACGTGAAATAAGACATGAAAAATTCAGACGTTTTTTTTAAAATAGTAAATAATGTTTCTTTTTTTTCAAAAAACAAACTATATAGTTTAATCTTTAAATTTTTTAATTTTATTTAAATAACGTTCAAAAAAATATTTTTTTTTTAAAGTTTATTTTTGATCAAATTTTTTTTTTTCAAATAATCTTATTTAAGAAAATTTAAAAAAAAAAAAAAAAAAAAATATAATAAAATTTCATTACAATCATATAATTTTGATCTGAAATACAACAACAATGTTTTAGCTTTCAATTATTAAAATTTTGATGACAAAAAATTTTTTTTTTTTTTTTTTTTTTTCGTTTTATGAATTTTCATTTTTTAAAAAAAAAATAATGAAAAATTAAATAAGTTTGTTTCATTTTTTTAAAAAAAAAAGTTGAAATGGCCGTTTATTATTGGTTTTTTTTAAAAATCATTCAAAAATTTGTACATTTTAAATTTTAATTTTTTTTTTTTTTTTTTTTTTTTCTTTTTGGAATCCTTTAAACATTTCAATTTAAGTATATTTGAAAATATAAAAGATTTTTCCTTTATGAAAAAAAATTTTAAACCTTAAATTTATATACCGAATTTTGGAGTGTCAAACCTAAAAGGTACCTCCACGAAATCGCTAAAAAAAAAGAGCATAGCTTGATGAAAAAGACGCCAACCTTGCCGAAAACTAAATTTTATTGTCTAAATGCTTATTATTATTAAGAGGAAAGACCAAAGTTTTTTTTTTAATTATTTTAAAAAATTTTCCTTCTTTTAGAACATTCTAAATTTTGATTAAAAAAAAAAAAAAATTTTTTTTCTATTTGTATCAGCGGAACTAGTAAATAACATAGACAATTTTTAGCACGTTTTTTTTGGTATGACACACATTAATTTGAAAAATCGTGCAAAAATAGAAATAATTATCGGATGTTAATGAAACTTTCAGGAACTATTCACAGATGATCGAAATTATTATAAATATGTTTTTTTTTTTTTTATGAAAGTCATGGTAGAAATATTTTTTTTAAAATATTTATTACCCCCCCCCAACTAATTTTATGAAAACGCTAGAAATTCGATCGCATCGGTTTTAGTGATTACAATAATTAAAAGCACAGGGCTTTGAGGAATGCAAATCATGTTTTTTGTTTTTAATTGGATCCCCCCTACCTGAAAATCAGCTCTGAATTGTAACATACAAAACTCAATAAAACACAGATATTACTTAATTTCATAATGCTTTTATTTGCTTTTAGTTGTTTTTTTTTAAATATAGACAATATTTTCTGAAAGCAAAAAAATTTTTCGATGAAAAATACATTTTTAATACAATTATTTGTTATTTCTTTAATTATAATAGATTTTACATTTAAGTTGTTAAAATATTATAAAATTAGTTAAAAGCTGCATCGGCTTTCATAAGTTCCTTATGAGATAGATCTTTTTTTTAGCGCGTTGTAAATTGTATCATTTTGACTAATCAGAAGATCCCCAGTAATTAAGAAATGTAATTTTGTGCTTATAATCGAGCTGTAATTATAAAATACGGAAGACCAACCAGAATATAATTAAGTTGCGTTATTTGAGTTAAGCATTGTTCTCCGCTGTTAAGGCCTTTTTACTTTTTGCGAAAACACGTGTGGAGAAGTTAATTTGATTTTTCAATTTCAACTGAGAAGGGTACCTACAAGTATCAGTATCATCTTATGAAATTTATATGATCTTATTTTTATATTAATCTCAGTTACGACATTTTTCCATAAATGAAATATCAAAATTAATAATAAAATGAATGCAAATACAAATAACAGTAGAATGTAATAAATGTACATAAAATTATAGTATTTTATGTACAATTCTGATAAAATTTCATAAGAAAGGTACCTATAAATTAATTAGATACCTTTCTTAAGAAATATGAAATTTAATGTCACTCTTAACAGTTTTATTTTAATTTCTTTACAATATATTTCCCATAAAGCATCATAAACGTAAAGGTGAAAGCTAAAAAAAAAAAAAAAAAAAAAAATTAGACCGCTGAAAGTTTTCGTTAAAAATAACGGGGTAAATAATTTGTTCACGTAAATGTAAATTATTTCACTTTTCTCCTTCCGTAGAACAAATTAGCCTCATGGAATTCAGTAAATATATCATTCATCACATGTCAAGAGACGCGAAAGTTTATGACCTGCTTTGTTTTATTTTCAAATTACATCTTTTTTTTTACAAAAGCTAAGTTAAGTTTGGTTCAAAATATTTTAAATAAACATTATAATTTCTGATTTTCTTAAAATAAGTTTTGAAAAAATGATAATTGATATTTAAAAAATTTCAAAGTCAGATTTCCAGTTTTTTTTTTTTAAATGGAAAAAAAATGGTCAATTTTGCTTTTGACAAAAAAAAACTAGATTTTAACGAAAATTTCGGACGTGCTAGGAACGATTAAAAATGGAAAAAAAATACCCCAAAAATACTTTTGACCTTTCCTCTTAATAATAACAAACATTTAGACGATAAAATTTTGTTTTTCGTCAAGTTTGGCGTCTTTTTTTCATCATGCTATGCTCTTTTTTTTTTTTTTTCTCGTGGAGGTCGTACCCTTTAATTAAAAATAGAAATGAAGAAAATGCCCCAAACTTAATTAAAAATTTAAAATTTTATCATGAAAAAAAATTAAGGAAATAAAATTTTTTTTTAATTTTATTTTAAATTGCAGCATGTTTCAAAATAAATTTAATCATATTTTTTGAAAACAATTTTTTTTTTTTTTTTTAGGTCAGCAATTAGGTAATTTTTTTTTCAGTTGAAAAAAACACATTGGTTTGGAAAATTCTTGCAAAAATCAAGTACTTCTTGGATTCTAATTCAAACCTTCAAAACTTATTCACAAATGAATGAAATTA